AAGAAGCAACACTGTAATAGAAAGTCGCCATCGTCTCATCCTGTTAGAAATTGAAACAAACGAAAAATTATATTGGTCTTACTTCAATAGGAAAGTAGATAGATAGATAGATAGATAGATAGATAGATAGACAGAGGGCCGGCTATAATTGCGGCCCTATGTGAAACTGATTGCGCGGGGCCCAGCCTGGATAGGAATAAAGACAATTAGTGAAAATTAAGATTTTTTTGTATTAGAAAATAAATTCGTCCTTACATTTTTTCATTCTTTACTAGGTACAAAATCACGATCTAATTAACTTCACTTTACGAGCCTTGCGTGTAGCGAAGTCATACAGTATATCATCAAACTTCTGTTTCCTACATAGATCAAGCTCAATAGCAAGAATTGCAAAATTGTTCAATCTAGCTTCATGAATTGTTGACCTCAAGTAATTCTTGAAATAGTTTGAGGCGAGAGAAGCTTCTTTCACCAGATGCCACAATTACGGGTATTGTTAAAAATATTCAGAGTGCAACATAGTAGTTTGGGAAAGCAGTGTATCTTTCATTAGTGGACAGATAAGTTAAAATCTCTTCCGATGTTTTGATGGTATTTGCCTTAAATATGACAATTCTGTCTATTTTTCATGAGATTTAAATGAGCTTTCACTAGATTTTAATAATTCCGGGAGAATTCTAGGAGCGTCTGGAAAATCAGGTAGCCGCGTGCGTTATAAGTTATAATGGTTTTATTTAATAATTTACACCTATAATTAGGGCGGGGAATAAGGCCGGCCCTGGACATAATCTTCAGTTTTGAAGAAATGTGAAAAATTTATGTTACAACTTAGCCTATGTTACAAGTTTACAACAGTGTTTGTTTTTCTATATTTTATTTATACTAGGTTTAAAACTCAAGTTAGGTCTAGTTAAACACTAAAACCAAGCAAATTTAAACAATCTCTCTCTCAATCTTCCACCTATTTGTCTTTTTTTTTTTTTTTAAATTATTATCTACTTTTATCCCAAATGCATAATTGAAGTTTCTGTAGTTTATAAGGCGAGATGTACGACATATCAAGCATCCACCTCAGTAAGACCTATTTATGAATCCGGTAAACTCCGCACACATAAATTTAGCCACTCAGAAAATCTAGGATCTAAAAATAGATACTCATTAATTTGATCAGCAAAAAGATTAAAGAAACGGTAATTCCCGTTTTTATAAATGATATCTTAGTTTTACTTCTATAGGTTAAAAATAGTACTTGTCCTGCAGGTATTTATCCCTAAAAACCAAATGTAGATCTGTGGGAAGCGTGGCAGAGGGGTTACTTCGTTTATTTCAAAACCTTTGACTTGCTTCATGTACTGCGGGTTCAACACCCGTTGCTGCCCCTCGCGCTATCTACCCACATTTTCTTTATTTTTATATTTTATAAATAAATAAATTATAATTCCAGGAGATGTCAATGAAATGATTACAAGGTTATATCTGTGAGACGCTCAATGGGCAAAGGCTGCTCTTGGATTTTTTCACGAATCTTTTGCCTGAACACAGTTCTGAATTCTAGCCATCACAGGGCAGTCATAGTAGCATTGGTCAAGTAGTTTGTCCATGTCTAGACTGGACATGTTTTTCTGTCAACGACAGAGACAGTGTGTCTCTCTGAATAACAGTGGCAAAACTAATGAAAGTCTTCATCGCAATCAACAAACGGAACGCTCAAAGACACCTGCTCAGTGCTTGAGATATCTGAAGTTTCATTACCAAAATGTCCAGCTAATGCAATCTTCACTCTTGTTCAAAGTAAATTTAACATCGAATGACAGCTGGCAAGATTGTTTCCTCAAAGGAAAAAAAACAACAACTATCATATTATAGGCCTTAACTAAATATAACAATAACTATAGTTATGTGCAAATGAAAGAAAAAACGTCACGGCTTACAAAATAACATGCTATTGAATATATGAAACACTTTATAAGTGTAAAGAATTGCAAGCCTACAATAAGTCCTACCTGTCGGACATGAACTATAAAATAGCCCATTCTAATTTTTTACAATAGTTATACAATCCTTAAAACTTTACTTCAGTAAAGTTGTTACATAATTTTTTTCTGAAAAGAAATTAATTGATTTGAAGGTGTAAAATATTCACTAAAATTCGGGTACTCAGAATTCAGAGGGGTGCACCGTGCACATACAAGGTCGGCCATTAATTCTTGATAAGTTTAGGCTAGTCTACTGCAACTGTACTTCAGTTACCAATGGAAGCACGACTTGTTCAGTTGCTCCTAGGATTTTAATTGATCCGATGGTGCAAAAATAAAAATAGGCTAGAATTTGGCTACTCAGAATCAAGGGCTTATAGTATGAAATAGTGGGGGAAAAGACGGTTCAGCGGTTCCGCCAAAACTTCCCTATGTCCCATTCGGAGTGGACCCATTTTTAGACCCAAAACCCTTAATATTTAAGTCACCAGTGGAAGCAAAACTTGTTCAGTTGCTACTTAGATTTTAATTGATCCGACGGTGCAAAAAAAAAAGGTAGAATTTGGCTACTCAGAATCCATTGGGGGGGGGGGGGTGCAAGGGCAGGCGCCCATGCGCGGGGCCTATGAAAGTGCAGGGCTCACTGCGGCCGCATAGGTTTCAGTGGCCTAAGGCGGCCCTGGATAGATAGATAGATAGACAGACAGAGAGACAGATACGTATATTATCATTACTAGAAGTATTGACTTACTTTCTTGAGTACCTTTTAAAATAGAAACATCGCCTGAGTGATTCTATAGTACGTGTAGCCATATAAAGTCTTATAGAAAACAGCCCTCCTGGCCAATCACTTCTGCAACCTAACTACTTCCAATTAGTCTGTGCATGTAGATCTAGGTTTTAAGTTAGGCTCACATTAAAGTAAAAACGGAGTAACTTAATTGGTAGTCAGTATGAACAACTTACAACATAGTCACTAGTTTAATTTGCAAAAAAAATGTTTGAGCTCGATTAGAGGTAATAATTGCATGCAAGCTGTAGATGTATGTGTGGGTAAAAGATATTAATGCGTTGGTAACATGTCAACGCATCACTAATGTGATGACTAATTGTTCATTAATAATCTATCCTGCAGGCTCAGAGATGCTTTTAAAAACATGCAGACATAAACCATGTCCATCATTATGTTCAGTGTTAGAGCTAAGAAACTGTGAGAGACAGGTCCTGGTCTACGGCAGTAAAGGACTGTAGTACTTAAAGGGGACCTTCATCTTTAAAAAAAATAATATATAAAAATTCTACATAACATGCATTCTACTTCTGGGACGCTGCATCAGGCGATCTGATTATACTGGCTCTATTATCTTATCTTATAGATTACAGACGTTCAAACGGAGATAATTATGTCATACGCATTTCATGTTTCAGTCTAGTCATGCATGTTAATCAGTGAGCTAAAATCTCAAAGTCACACCATCATCATCATCATCTATGTTTTGGCTTTCATCACAGAGGTGATGAAACAGTTCGCGTAACCAAATCCATCCACTTTTTCCGCCAGCAGCTGTTCTTAGTAGGATATCAAGAGGAGAGGCCGGTCCATTCTTTTACATTGACCAGCCAGCTTTTCTTTGGACGTCCTATTCTTCTTGCTACCTCCACTGTACTGTATGTCTCTTCACAGTGTTGAGCAGTTCCTTACATGGCATGTCCTAGAGATGAGGATAAGATGAAGGTCTGACGTTGCATACTGTGGTCGAGAGGCCAAGTGCGCTTGAACTACCTAGAAGGGGGCTCGAGGTTCGACACCCGACTCGGGCAGAGTTGTGTTTACTGAGCGCCTATTGGCAGCACGGAAAACCAACTCCTAGATACCCCCTCCCCCCTCACTGGTCCACAAATGAGATTGGACCAAAGCGCTCTGAGCATGCTATAAGCATGAAAGTAGCGCTATATAAAAGCTATAATAATAATAATAATAATAATCCATCCAAAAGAAAAAAAAAACAGAAACTAGGTTGCTGCTCTAATTTTGACCAGAATCATTATCTTCATCATCAAACATTAGGGTGAGATCTCGTGATGCTCTGATTCCTTGGAAAAGCTCTGCTGTTGTGCATTATGCACACATGTTAAGACACAGGTGAAGAACATTTTTCTCCCAAGAAACGAGGAGACAGATTCAGCAAGTCTGAGACACTCAATTATTAAATAATATATATACATTGTTACATATCTAGGCATTGTTACCTAGATACTATTTTTTTTTTCTTGACCTGTAGGTTGTTTGCCCCTTGTGTAATAAGTTTTTTTTTATTTTATTTTTCGCGGTGAGTCAAGCCACACAGACAGTGACCGGTCCTTGACCTATGTGTGTACCTCTGGTTGAAAGGAGGGTGGGTTTTTTTTTCTTCTGTCTCTTTGAAGAGCGTTCTAGAACTGGGTGTTGATGACTTATTCTGTTCTAGAAATTACTAGATTTGTCTTGATATCGACGCGCGGTATATTATATAAAGACCGCCCGCGTAACGTTGACGGACGAGACATACGGAGACAGCCGTGAGATAGAATAGCGGAGACATTGCGTTTCCCGTGCGTGGTATACCAATTGATCGTGTAAGTTAAGATTTTTCTTTTTTTTCAAGGCCTTGCTTGTATTTGTAATTATATTTTCAAACTCTTGTATTGTAATATTTTTACATGCCATTTTTGTAAAAGGGTTTTGGTCAACCCTTCCATTTTGTATTGAGTAAATGTTTTTTGTTTTTTTTCTTGCTTTATGTGATTCAGTTAAAAGTACTATTCGAGTTATATTTTATTAAACATTAAGTTGATATTTTACCTTCCGATTTCTTGTGTCATTTTTTTTTTTTTTTGTTATTCATTGTAAGTCTTTGATTAAATTCAGACTTAAGATAAGTGACACAACTACCTTTTTCTCTTGTCACGTTCCCCTAGGCAAGCCATTTAAAAGTAGAATTCAATTCGTAATACGTGACAACATACAAAGAAAAAATAATAAAAATTAAAAAATAATAAAGCTGATTTTATTTAAATGTATTTATTTCTTGTACATAATTTGTAAACTAAGTTTAACTAAGTCGACTATAGACTTACATTTAATGCTGCCCAAGTACTTCTTAGTCTTAGACTTTCTCAAATTTTAAATCTTCAGCCAACTCAGAAATCATTTCATTGAACTGCAAGGGGACACAACCCCCCCCCCCCCCCCTCCTCACCAAGGTTAACAACAATCAACAAATTTGTACCCAAAGACAGGATTTCAGAACCACTGAAAATTGGTGTAAAGTTGTTTGACCTGCTTACAACCACCACAAGGACAATTAGATGTGTCTTACTTTTTTTCATAACACACCTGCACTATTTAGGACACACCTTGTGTAAGCACAATCATAATACTTGATGTAAACACAATGTCTCTACAAGATAATATTTAATACAGTGGTGGACATCAGCACTCAGAGATTCAGCCCTCTTAAACATTCATACTTGTACTTTGAAGTCTTAACATTCTGTAACAGTATCAAGTCTAGACATCAGTTCAAACCAGAAGATGAAACATTCAATATTATCCTATTTTTTTTAGAGCAATAATAATACCATTGATTGTGATTTGTTTATATTACTAGTCTGAATAATGCCAAACATGGACAAGATGCATTCTGACTTCCACAAACACTACACATTTTTCAAGGTAAAACTAAAACAGCTCTTTCAGGACAGTTTTTGTAAAAAGGTGACTCTAAGCCAGGGGTTCTCAACCTGTGGGTCGTGACCCCTTTGGGGTTCGATTGACGATTTGCCAGGGGTCACCTAAGACCATCGAAAATATGGATTGTCATTGTCTACTCTTCTATTGCTGTGTGTGTGTAAGGGGAGAGGGGTTGCGACAAAGTGAGGAATCGTAAAAAGGAGTCGCTGAGCTTAAAAGGTTGAGAACCGCTGCTCTAAGCAAAAAAAAAATGTATTTTAGTTACCCAGTTATTTAAAATCAGAAAAGTAAAACCCAACGAGACATTCAGATTACCAGAAATAGAATATTTATGAGAGAATTGAAATTGATTGTTTATTTAGTGGATTATTTAGAGTTATTAAAACATGGTAAATATTGCACTAATTTACAGGAAGACAGTGCAGGATTTTAAACATTATTTCAGCAGTATTAGAAAAAAAATGGCTTAGAGTGCAAGCTCAAACAATGTAAAAGACAATATTAAAAAAAGGAATTTGGATTATTCTTTGCAATTACTTACAGATCTATATAGTGAGGACATGAGTAGTGCTAGTGAGGACAGGAGTAGTGCTAGTGAGGACATGAGTAGTGCTAGTGAGGACAGGAGTAGTGCAAAGAAAACTGATCAACTGGTTAAAAAAATTATTATTTTATTAACGAGGCCATCAAAATTATTACAACTCTATGGATGCTATAGATCATCTTATAATGCTAGTAAGTATACATGCACTTTTAATGTCACTGTGACATGGTAGGGGTGCCCCCCCCCCCCTGATGGTCTAACATTAAACGAAGTAATAAGATGTCTTGTGTTTTGTTTATGTGAAGTGTGTTCTCAGCATTGTGTGCTTCAGTTTGGTCATTCTGTAACTATGTGTTTGTGCAGTTATGATCGTGTGTAAAATGTGTTGGTTTTTTTTTATGGTCTTAAAAAATGTTATGAATCAATACCACAAAAGTATTTGCAACATAAAGCAAATAACATGAACCGTTTTTATCCTCATAACTTAATTAAATTTACAGTATTTCTCACAAAATTTTGTTTGTATGTAACTTGAGCATAAACAATTCAAAATGTAGAAACTGTTTCAATATTACATTTAAACACAAGCCACAAATTAAACAAATTTACATTGAAACACTGCATAACAATCTGTCACCACAAGAAAATGCCAACAATAAGTAAAGCGTATTTTATATAAATTCATGTACAGTTATGCAGATTATTAAGAAATAAGCTAAACCACTGTAACTCTAGAAAACACTTGAAACAAATTTTTATTAAAATTCTAATGACAAGTGCATTTCTATGCCCAATGTAATAATTAAGTTTCCAAGAGTGATGGAAAAAAGTTACACTTTAATCTGATTAATAATCTCAAACTAAACTTTGCCTGAAAGCAACTCACACCAAAAATACTCTCAACAAAAGGGAGCCAATAAGAAACAGAGTCCCTAGATCTAATTAAATCTCTATTTTTTCTTGTCCTGCTCTTGTAAAAAGAGAAAGGCTGAAGAGAAGTCTTTTCCGCTGTAACCTTGGTTACACATGGTTCGGTAGATCTGATGAGCCAATGAGCCAAGAGGAGTGGGGCTCTTAGTGTTGGTAGCAGCATTCTGAGCCAAGCCAAGGTCCTGAAATGAAATAAAGATGTTGATTTGATTTGAATGTTTTGCGAAAACAACAGGAAATAAGAAGAAAAGAAAATAAGGAAATAATCTGGGTTTTATTGTGACTGCATAGCTTTCTGGGCTCGCAAAGACTTTCCTTCAGTACAGTACCAGGAAAAAGAAGAAGAGGCAGACACAGAGAGCGCTGAGAGGACAACATTAAAGAATGGATGGGCCAGCCATTGAAAGAGGATCTAACTAAGGCAAAAGACAGGGAGGAATGGAGAAAGATGGTTGACGAGTCTTGCTTGGTGCCCCAATGGTACAACAGACTAAGGGATAGTAAAAAAAAAAAAAAGGTAAAAAAAAGTTCTGAAATCTTGGATTAAGTCCCTTAGTGATTGGAGTGCAGTTATTATAAAGTGTTATTTGAGACTTGTACCAGTTACTAATTTATTACTATACCGTATTTGTCAAGTATTTCTATAAAGGATAGTTACTAATTGTACTTGGATGCCAAAACTATGGTTCAGTCTTTTATGTGTAATTGCTACTTTACTTTTGAGTCTTCTTTTCTGAAGGCTTTCTAAATTTAGTGATTTTACTAAAGGTGTTACTCAAAAAATTTAAATATTCGTTTATTATAAATCCAACTGCTCTATTATGTGTCTCTTCCAGTTTCTTAATGTTTTCTTGAGTTGATGGGTCCCAAACAGAGGAAGCATATTCTATTATTGGCCTAACCAAGATTAAAAAACATTTTAGTTTTATGTTCTTATCTGATTTATATAATTTTCTTTTAATAAACCTTAATGTTTTGTTTGATTTTTTGATAGTTTCATCAATATGGGGATTCCATGATAGTTTTTCATTTATTATAACACCTATTATTTTCAAATACTTGTCCAAGTGGGATTTGTTTGTAGCCAATAATCTTTCTAGTAGCATTTAGGAATTCATTCTGGTTACATTGCGAACCAGACAGTGACGTTGAAGCTTAAAATATGGCAGATGGTAAAACAGTGATAAGGCTTTTTTGAAAACAGAAAACTTATCAGTATATGTTGGTGTATATGTGTGGCTATGTGTGCATATATGTGGGTGCTTCCAATGTAATGGTGCTAAGAAAACTAAGCAGTATGTGTGGGTGTATGTGTGGGGCATGTGTGGGTATCCCAGTGCAAATGCTGCATATCTCAATGTTATGTTACAGTACGTTAGCCATAAGAGCTGAACCAAACATAATGTTACAGTACCTTAGCCATAAGAGCTGAATCAAACATAATGTTATAGTGCCATCGCCATAAGAGCTGACCCAAACATAATGTTATAGTGCCATCGCCATAAGAGCTGACCCAAACATAATGTTATAGTGCCATCGCCATAAGAGCTGAACCAAACATAATGTTACAGTGCGACAGCAATAAGAGCTGAACCAAACATAATGTTAAAATACCTTAGCAATAAGAGCTAAACAAACATAATGTTATAGTACCTTAGCCATAAGAGCTGAACCAAACATAATGTTACAGTACCTTAGCCATAAGAGCTGAACCAAACATAATGTTACAGTACTGCTAAGCCAAATGTAATGTTACAGTACCTTAGCCATAAGAGCTGAACCAAACATAATGTTACAGTACCTTAGCCATAAGAGCTGAACCAAACATAATGTTATAGTACCTTAGCCATAAGAGCTGAACCAAACATAATGTTACAGTACTGCTAAGCCAAATGTAATGTTACAGTACCTTAGCCATAAGAGCTGAACCAAACATAATGTTACAGTACTGCTAAGATAAATGTAATGTTACAGTACCTTAGCCATAAGAGCTGAACCAAATCCTCCCTTGTAATCATTGCTGGATGGAACTCCAGGGACAACTCCAGGCACTGGGTTATACACTTCACTGGACCAACACCGACCAGAACTCATGTTCAAAATTTTGGCCAGCAGTTTGGGGTCAAGTCCAAGCCTAGAATATAAAAACAAAATTGCAACAGTTCATTTTAAAAATCTCATTCAAGTGAACTTTAACTAGATTCATGAGAAAAGAATCCAGGCCATGTCCAACAGCTGCTTATGCCACGATGCTGGAAGGTAAGTGACAAGAACAGATTTCAACTGTCCACTAGTGGGACAGAATTAGGCAGAATCCCAGAGTCAAAGACTAAATAGAAAATATCTTGCACAAATTAACTAACAATGGAATGGGAGCCATAAGGAAAAAGGAAAGTGGACAGTCCTTAAAAATAAAAGAATAAAAAAATCGATCATCAGTGAAGCTGAGGCTATTAAATAACATGGGAGCAGTATAGTTCAAGATTCAAGCATCCTCACTACCATGCCAACATAAAAACAAAATTAACTATCATGATTGTGGTGAAATATGTTGACCACCTTTCTGAACCTTTAGACTTAAGAAAAAAAAAATCTTTATTATTGAAAAAAAAGAGCCCAAAGAATTAAATTCAAAATTTATTTTTCAATTGGATGTAAACATTATCAAAGATCACTAAAAGTTTGTAACTCAAAATGAAAGTAACATATTTACCTTATACCGAGATTCATGGTTTCTGATGTACCAATCATTGAAATAGCTAACAACATATTATTACAGATCTTTGCTGCCTGAAATATAGACAATTTTTTTCTAGATTAATATATAAGTCCCAAAATCTTAGGTGGACATATCATTGGATATAATAAACTCAGCTGTAATCTCTAAACCTAAAACTTATACAGAGTTGACAGGTGATACAGCCTAGTTCATTTCTAATTTGAATTACTACTTTAAAAATTTGAGACTGAATGAAAAGTTAAGAGCAGAAATATAGAAAATGAGTTTAGAGTTAACTTTCTTGGATTA